TTGGGAAGTGCGTACTGTTAGAAGTACTCCCGTAGATGTTGGTATTGCGGACACAGGCATAGGATGTGTTCCATCGATGCAGTGGTTCCGCAAACGTAGCACATTCTGTGGAACTGCGTCCCACCAAAACTATGTGAGATCCTTGTATGGCCTGTCCTAAGACGGTCCCGTTGTTTCGACATATCCGTCCACTTGCTCGTCGTTCCTTTGATTCTTCGGATGAAGAGGGATTGGGATTGGCACCACTCTGCTTCCCAGGCTTCCCACATTTTGCTGACTATTCATCGCTTCATCACTTCGCCGGTGTAACGGGGGCCAGCTGGTCCAGACCCTGCCAGGTTGTCGGCTTCGCTATTTCCTGGGATACCACAGTGCCCAGGGATCCAGGAAAACACCGTGTTCGGAGGTGTGGCCTCCACGATTCCCTGTATCAAGGGGTGAGTCAGGGTCTCAGATGTAAAGGCTTGTATGACGCTGTACGAATCGGATAGCACCAGTATGGACCAGTCCGAGGGTGTTGTAACGGCAACAAAGATGGTGGCTGCTTCGGCGGAGAAACCGAGCATTGTGGCGGTAGGCTGCTACTCAACGGTGCTGAAATTCCGGCTACTCCAATTCCGATCCCGGCTCGGGAAAGCGATCCTTCCGTGTATATGTGGGCATGGGTTGGATAGTCCGAGCCTAGCTGTACGGCTGCTGTTCTTCTTAGCACTGCAGAGTTATCTCCAGCCTTGAACCTGCTCTTTATCCAACTCTCGATTTTGGGTGGAGGTATGCGCCAACTTTTGACTCCGTACCTGTGGACCTTGGCCACTGGGGGAGCTCAGAATTGGCAGTCATGCGGTTGAGTCTGTTCCCCTCATCGAGGAGAAAGATCCTGTCATTTCCGGAGGTCATGACTGCAAAGGCAGCGGCTTTTGTTGCAATTGCTGCAGTTTTACGATGATGGAAGGGCAGAATACCCGCTTCGATGCATGCGGCATCGGCGGGCGTTGACGAAAGAAGACCGGAGACAATCCGAACGTGGTGATGCACGTCATATCAAGACCGTACAGTAGGTGACTATCGATGACGGCTCTTGCAACCCGGAAACGAGTGTCGCGATTGTTAGACCGGTGGGGGCGAGAGATGGTGCGGATCGAGTTGATCCTACTGCGGCAGTCGTTCTTGATCATCTTAAAGTGCTGCTCGAAGTTGAGGGACCGGTCAACAAGTACCCCCAGAATTCGGACCGTCTTCTTCAGTGGTGGGCTGGCTTTGAACTTTGATAGGTGGCTGACACGGTGCCGGAATGGACACACGTACCACCTGACGCTTTTGGTGGCCAAGAGCTGGAAACCAACCGCGCTGGCCCACCTGGCTACAGCTGAGACTGCTGCCTGGGACTTGATCCTGTTACGTGCTGCTGTTGGGCCGGTAGTTACGATAAGTACATCGTCAGCATACACGAAATTGTAAACATTTTTCGGCAGTCCTCCGAAAACTCCGTTCATGGCCACAAGGAAGAGGGTAACGGCGGTAACTGAACCATGTGGGACGCCCGTCTCTTCTCTGAAAAGCTGGGACTTCGTGTTGCCAATTGCAAATCTGAATGAACGATCGGTCAGGAAATTTTTGATGAAGTGGACCTTGGGTCCTCACAGTCCCCAGTTGACAAGCTGCATGCCAGGTACCTACGCTTCCCTTTGTTGCCGGTGTGACTCGACCGCACTAATCTATTGTTAAGTTTTTGCTGTGTGCATTATTTTTGTGCACAGAGTGATTTGAAAAAGAAAAGTGATATCTAGTTTGGAATCCCTGAAGGAGGAATTGTTTATAAATTGCTAGAGGAAAATATGCGTGAAGCATCGGGAATGCGCTCCCGGATATATTGATTTGGTGAGCACGTTCCAGTTGAACCTTGTTCTTATACATTTCTCGATTGCATTTTCGAGGGGACGTGTCTGGTTTTGTGGGCAGTGCGTTTGATGGTCGGTTTGGTGTGACTGGTGGCTCGTCCGCGCGTGCTGGTGCCCCTATCAGGTAGGGGAACATTTCCCCTATCTGATGGTGGTGTTGGCATGCGTGTGCGAGATGCCGATTTCCGCTGGATTGGGTATCGGATGCATTGTTTGCGGGAGCGGATGTGTCCATTAGAGGGAGTATTCGAGATTTATTTTCATCGTTTGCCAGAGGGATGACCTCGATCGCGTGATGCAGGTTTCTTGATTTTTACGGTTAGGTACCTTCGAATAATGCATTATGATTTTTTTCATGGTTAAGCAAGATTCGTTTAGAAAGTAAATGTCGCGATCGAACATGCAAGCTTGGCACTTGGCCGATTGCTTAGCCGATTAGTGTTGTAAGGTGTGGTGTGGTTGAAGACTGACGGTAGTCATGGCGGGCCGTGTTTGATTGTGTGGTTTTGATGCGGTAGTTTGACGCATAATCGGGGCGGTCTGGTGAAATATGAAGGAGAAAACAGTCGTTTGAAAACACAATAGAGTTCAGTCGAGATAACTTAAAATGTGTGCAATATTTGTACGCTGGTAAAATCGTCACGTCAGTCGTAGTTTACTTTGTGATGTAAGGGGCACGGTAACCCAAAAATGTGAAAGTTTTGTGGATTCTATTCCCGTCTTACGTAAGGACCAAATGGAAACAACGAACGTCACGTAAAAGTAGAATTCAATGAAGGCATGAGCGCTTTTCCGTAGCTTTTTTGTCTCCAGGGTTAAACGGTCATCGGTCATAGAGGCTTATTCTTGAGTTTGAGTTTGAATAAATCCCAGGTCCTATCATATTAAGGAGACTTATAGTAACATCGCTTGATTATCGTGTGTTTTTCGCAACTTAACTTCGTCATCAACGTCACCTTCGGGGCCGGTTTTGAATGGTTGCAATAGCAACGTGATCGTAGTTTGTATGATGTGATATGAGGGGCTTGGTGGCCTTAGAGTGACCATTTTTGCTTACTGAGTAGAATATCAAGAGATTAATCTCAAGCTTCTCCTCATTCGTTAATCGCTTTATTTGTTAATGTGAATACATTGGAATAACAACAAATCGATCATTGGTATGTTGTAATAAAAGGAGCAATCAATCAATTCAGCTTAGATTTTTTGTCGACTGCAGAACTGAAGAAGGCCGAACTAACTATAATCCGTCGAGTCCAAAAGGAAGTGTTCCTTGAACAATGGAAGGCATTGTTAAAGGGCGAATCAGTACCACGAAAATCTGCGCTGAAGTGGTCAATCCATACATTTCAGCTGACCAGATCATCAGGATTGGAGGAAGGTTGAGGCACTCCGGCGAAGTGGATGATTCAAAACACCCTATAGTTTTACCTGCACGCCACGTACTCACCTACGTTTACGAAAACAAATCATTTGTCAGCTAAAATGTAATTTAATAAAATTATTTGTAAACTACAGATTGGGAATTGTCGCAAAATCTACACCAACTGTAACAGTCCTGAAGTTGTTGCCATAATCGGGGGTAGACTAAAACGGTGGCACTGTATTTGAATTTTAAAATATAATACTTTTGTTTATCTCTATTTAGTGAGAAAACTGCAAAAGTCATTCTGATTTGACTCAATTAATTAAATATTGAAAAGGACTTATTTCGGTAAAAACGTTAGTTATCAAATGTTCTGAAAGTGTCTAGAATAAATCATTTGCGCGAACCCCTGGGTACAGGGTTATGTAAATGTCAGCTAAATTAAAATCGAGATGGGGAAAACAAAACTAACTAAATATGTACCTAAAAAGGGTGCGTTTTGTTTCCAAAGAAACAGACAATATTTTATTATAAAATTTTATTTTTCCCTCGATATAGAATATTATTGTGCTTGCAACGCAATATAACCATTAGAGTGATGTAAAATTTGAAATTTTCGCTCCACAATACTTAAACGATTCCAAATCGGATCCTGGCTAACCTCTCAAAATTTGAACCCATTTGGTGAGAAACTGAGATGGCACAAACCATTTGAAGTTTGTATTGGAATTACTATGGGAAAACCAAGATTTTTGTTCATGTCGATCTAATAATTCACCATATCGGTCTGGTTCAAAAGCTTTCAACTGTGCTTGTAGGAAATTCCCAGCTACAACTTTGCTGTAGACCACTTTTTGATCAAATGCAAGGATCGAAAGTTATCAATGGTTCAATGCGCTGATGTCTTATGATCATGCTCAATCAACTGCTCAGCAGGCAACATTGGTGTTTCTGGGGCGTTGAATAGGACACAAAAATCATGGCTACTATGTCACACTGCAAAATGCAGTGTTGCCTACAGAGCAGCTGCTTGATCATGTCATAAGTTTACTAATCTCTTAAATAATTAATAACTTTTTCCTGTCTCGTTTTACATAGAAACGATCTTCAGCAAAGATGTTGCTGAGAAAATTTTCTATAAGAATAGCTATCCAACTGTTTCGCAGCTCAATATGGAAAAAGACTAGAAGGCAATGAACAAAAAGATGAGATTTCCCATAGTAATTTACATGTAAACTTCATATGGCTTGTGCGAAGTCTGTTTCTAACCAAATGAGTTGTAACTTTGGAAGGACCCGATTTGAAACCATTTAAGCACTGTGGAGCGAAAAAGTCAAATTTTGCATCAGTCTAATAACCATATATATGTACATATGGTAAATACTCAGAACGGTTTCAATTAGCTGCTGTAAAAGTACTCAAAATGACGTTGACTAAAAAGGATTATTAAAAATTCACAAAATTTCTCTTGACTTGATTGAAAAGAAAGTATTTTCATTCATGCGTTAACAAGAAAACAAAGAAAAAGAAAGCTACAAACAAAACTAACCTTAATGAGAATCCACGCCGCCTTTTATTTAGATATGTACTGATATGTATGATGTGCGACCTACACAGTAAGATAGAAGCTCTATAACAAACAAAATCATACTCAGCATATTGAAAACAGTCGCATGTGCACAGCAACTATCTCTACACTGCCATCGGCGAAAGTACTTCAGTTCGTGTTTGACGTTGAACCAGATCGGTAGTATCGCAGTACGTACTGCTTCATACGATTAGTAAAGGAAAGTTGAAAGGTTATCGTTTCATCACGTTCTCAGCTGATCGGGCATACAACGTAGTTATTAGGTAAATGGAAGTTAATGCCCTTTGGATCCAAAAGACTTATTTAGACTTGTTTCCACCACTTATTTTTAAGCTTGCATATGACAAAAAAAAACTAAACTCAATTTAATTTCAGTTTTCAAAAGCTAGACTAAGGATTATCATAAACTGTTCATTTTAAACCCACGGTTTAAATTAACATTTTACATACCAAATGTGGCTTCCAATTCATTACTAGAATGTGAAATTACCCATCAATGAACAAAACATACCAGTACGCCAGTTGCACCTCAAAGGTAGAAGAAGTACCGTGTATGCTTTCTCCAGTGACATTGTTAAATGGATTAACTATGGGTACAATAAAATTACAATAGCACTTCAAGTGTATAATGGAACACTTCAACATTGTATTTCACACGATATACAGCCATCTACCGTATAAGTGATAATTTTTGCTATGTAGCAAATGTATTGATGTACATCAATTAAAATCGTTAAAAGCTGTGCGACTGATCGTCATAACTGTTTCAAAATACCGCATAATTTCACCACCCTACCTCTATCTCAGGGCTGGTAGTGGGTATGTAATATAATAGTAGTGACTTTAGTAACTAAACTAACAAAAGTGACCAAATAAAAAAAAATGGTTCCAATATTTCGTTGACAGCGACCTACTTCGAAAAATTTTTTAAACTCATAATCACAATCCATCTTGAGTATTTTTCATGCTCCTTTAAAATAAAACAAATAATGGTTTAACGATACCATAAATTTGATCTTGAAAAGGATGACCAGTGAAGCAGGAAATCAGGAAAACCGGGAAAAGCCGGGATGACAAATCGGGAAAAAATAAGATTCTGGACCTTTACCTGTGTTGGACAAGTTTTTAAGGATACAATCACTTTGATGAACTAAATATTATGAGAATTTTGAAGAGATTTTAGAATGAATTTTCGAGATAACTACAATGTTTTGTTAGAGAAAAATACCAACAGATTTGTTTAAGAACTCTAAGTGAGATTTGACTAGAGCTCCAAGTCATTTGTGGGACTTCAGACGTTCAGAGAAGAAGCTTTAGCTGGTTCTTTTGGAAAATTCGTGACGATTGTGAAGTGGATTCCAGGTCCATTTGTAATGAATATTCAAAATAAGTTCTTATGAGAATTTTAAAAGAGTTGTGATGACAATTCGAAGGAAATTTTTGAAAATTTAAAGATAATTTCATGGGAATTCTATAGAGAATAACAATGATCCCACGAAAAATATCAAGGGGATCAAATTTTGAGGGAACAATTTTAAAGGAATTCTGAGAAGAATTTCAATACGAATTTTCAGCGAATCTTAGGATCAATTCCTCGAATTTTTTGGAGTGTTCTGAAATGTTATATAGATATTTTTAAGGTTCTCTCGGAGAGAATCTCAAATTAATTTTCGAGAAACTCTGAAAATAACACTGTTATGGGAAATGATTCCAAAGGAAATTTGAGAACATTTCATAAAAATCCTGCAAAGAGTTTTAAGCGAAGATAAGTTACAACATCAAAAAATCTCGATGAATTCTTGATGAGAAAAAAACGATTTTTCCAATGTTTTTTGGTAGTTTCCCAGTTGTGAGATATAGGGTATACGTCCCTAACCTCGGTCTAATATGCAGCCATCGATTACGTTTTTAATCATAACTCATCAATGAATTTACCTGCAAACGATATTCTACTGCTAAATGGTATGCTTAGATATGCTTATCATGTCGTTTGCTATCAGAAACCACGAAAAGTTGAAAAACTTACTTTTTTTAAGACAATAACTCACGAGGGAAATGTATGTAATATGGGTCTATTGTCCCCAAATTGGGTCTATTTATGGATGCAACTTCGTCCTATCTTGTTTGATCCTCAAAAAAACGCTCTTGGTAACGTTTTCTGATGTATTTTTTTTTATCACTATCACTGTTAACTTAATGCTCTTCATTCCTCAAAACATTTCTTAGAGAAAATTTTACGAAAACTACATTAAATCACTCAATTTAAAAATTAAAAATTAAAAATTTCGCTTATCGTCTTTTGACCGCAGAATATCTAAATCAGAACATTGTGATGTTCATTATACAGGTTTGGCAGAAAAAATCTCCCTTCCTGTTCGTTCCTTATCATCCAAATGCAAAACAACATTGTTGACGTTACTCTTATTGCTATATGCTGTCAAATGAATTTCATGGGCCATAGTTAGGAACATAGAAAAGAAATGTGTCCCTAAAGTTGGGTCCATGTTTTACTTGTGAAAACGTTGTTAAACAATTAAAATAAACATAAAATATTCAAACAGCAACTGTAAGTTTTACGTCTAGTGTGTATTATCAGGTAATTCCAATCAATAAATGCCATAATCAGGCCATTTGATGATCGTCAGTCAACCTTCCCATCTTAACCTTATAAGTCATGGCGGCTAAAAACTCCGAACATTGTGATATTCTCAACCAGTTTTATTACTTACGAGAGCTGAAAATGTATTGAAATGTTGTGATATAAATTGATTTGTGTGTGGTACACATTTATCAACCATCAGTGATCAATATTTTCCTTATTTTTTGTGTAATATTCCTTAATTAATTATTTATTTGCGTGATAGGCCGAATGAAAGGACTAGACCCACATTACATACCGTAACCCTACATTGAAATTAAGCATATAATCAGAGCCGAAGATATCATTCGGTTAAATGAGTTACAATTAGAAAATAAAGATTTTCCTGGCTCAAAACAACCGGGAAAATCACTAAAATTCCGGGAAAAACCGGGTAAATTGCAAATTGGGATTTGGTGGCTACCATGATTATGGCTGATGCAATTTTTATTTTTGTTTTATGCCACACAAAAGTTACAAAGTTTAGCCCTTTTAAAACTGCAAGAAATATTATTAAATAAGTTGCTTACACGTAATTTTTTATTCATCCCTTGTTATTTTATATTTGCCCCTCCTCGACCTATTTGACTGATGTCGGACATAAAATGAAAATATTAATTGCATCAACCTTATTTTAGGTAATCAAATAATAATTTTATTAATTCAATAACGAAGTGCATTGTCCATTTCCGGCCGGCGCCGGTGGTGTAGTGGTAAGCGTGACTGCTTTCTAACACCCCGATGGGTCTGGGTTCAATCCCAGCCGAGGTCGGTGAGATTTTTCTGAGGCATAAAAATCTCTGGTCACGTCTTCCTTCGGAAGGGAAGTAAAGCCGTTGGTCCCGGCCCATGTGTGTTGTTGTGAATGGGTGCGATATCCTACGCAGGTGTGGAAGCTGCCTTCCTTGCACATTCGATTGCCGTCAATGGATGGCAATCGATGTCCGTCGGTGATTGGCACTAGATTGCGGAACAGAGACCGACGTTAAATAAAGGAAAGAAGATTGTCCATTTCCTCGCTCTACTCATTTTTCTGACTCGATTTTTGGCAACAAACAATTTTCTAAGATGATTTTAGCTTCAGATCGAAAATTGGTTATTAAAGCATGGCCCACTTAGTAATGGAACAGCATCATTTGGGTCAATTTCAGATTCGCATTAACGAATTTGAAAATGATTTTCACTCAAGGGCATAAGAAAGAAATACGAAACGAATTATTCGTCGCGATTTCGAAGGAATTATTGAACTTTTCCCTTAATACGACCCATCAAGCGGTCTCGTCTACTGTTTTGGCGATTTTATCCCATCAATTTTTCATCTGAGCGGCCGTTTTGATGACTGTACCTTTTACCAGTTTCCTCTTCATAATTGCCCAGTAGTTTTCAATGGACCTGAACTGGACACAATTGGGCAGATTGAGGGGTTTCGCTAGCATAGCGCTCGATACTGGTGCGAAGCGTGGACAGGCGAACACAACGTGTGCGGCGGTCTCCTCGACGCCAGCACACGTGGGGCAGATGGGAGTACTTGCATGTCCGAACCTATGCAGGTAGCTCCTAAAGCAGCCATGGCCTGACAGGAACTGTGTCAGGTGGAAGTTTACTTCTCCATGGCGCCTGTTGACCCAGCTTGATACGGAAGGTATCAAGCGGTAAGTCCACCTCCCCTTTGTGGAGTTTTCCCACTCCGATTGCCATCTCGCGGTCGACACAACTCGCGCGTAGTTGCGCAACCCTTGAACGGTCCTCGCGTCATAGCACACCACATCCTCCTTAATGATAAGGCTGATTGGCATCATCCCTGCTATGACACAGACGGCCTCTCTCGAGATAGTGCGGTATGCACTGGCCACCCTCAAGCACATTAGCCTGTGTGTGTTCTCTAATTTCCGCCTGTGGCAGTCAATATCCAGTACCGCAGCCCACGCAGGGCCACCGTATCTGAGGATAGATACTACGACCCCAGCGAGGAGAGTGCGCTTACTGGCATTCACTGCCGAGCTGTTTGACATCATACGCGATAATGCCCCCACAGCCATAGACGCTCTCTTGCAGGCGTACTCGACGTGGCAGCCGAAGCTGAGCTTATCATCGAGCATAACCCCCAAGAGTTTCAGAGAGCGCACAGACCTAATTGTGCTTCCGCCGACTGTCAACGTCGCATGCTGTACTGACATGCGATTGTTGACTACGACCACTTCCGTCTTGTGATAGGCAAGCTCCAATTTCGTGGATCTCATCCATTCCTCCACAAGCTTGACGCAGTGAGCCGCTGTCAGCTCTACCTCTTCGAGGGATTCCCCGTAGACTACCAGCGTGACATCGTCGGCAAAACCTACAATTTTCACGCCTACCGGGAATTTTATCCTCAACAGTCCATCGTACATGACGTTCCATAACACCGGGCCCAGGATGGAGCCTTGTGGCACTCCCGCGGTGACTCTAACGCATTTTTCGCCATCTTCTGTGTCGTACGTCAACACACGATTCTGGAAGTAGCTTTCCAGAATCTTATACAGCCCTCCGGGAATTTGAAGCTGGTGTAGCGAGCGGGCTATCGCCCCCCAGCACGCGCTGTTGAACGCGTTCTTCACATCTAAGGTTACCACCGCGCAGTAACGAATA